GCTTATTTTTGAGATAGGACCTCTGGCTAACTATTGCCAGGGCTGGCCTTGAATTGTAATGCTCCTCCTGACAATTAGCTAGGATTACTATACTTAGCCCATACTTTTTGATTTTTATAATTAAATGTCATTGAAATTGACATGGACTGACATAAGTGGCTTATACAGCTTATTTACCATGAAGATGTTACACATCATTGTTACTTAAGGCCCTAAATGTCATCAAAGAACTTTCATTGCAGGTTATAGTGGCTCATGCCTGTATGCCTAGCTACTCTGAAGGTGGAGATCAGGAGGATCATGGTTCGAGGCCAGCTTAAAGTTTGGAAGACCCCATTTCAAGCAATAAAAGCTAGGTGTGATGGTGCCCACCTGTCATTCTAGCTATGTGGAAAGCTTAAATAGGAGAATATGGTCCAGGTCGGCCTGGGCATAAATGTAAGAACCTATTTAAAAAGTAAAGCATAAAGGGCTGGGGACAAGGTCCTGAGTTCAAATCCCAGTACTGCAAAAAACCAAAAAACCAAACCAAACCAAAACAAAAAACCTTTCTGTAACCTCCATAGAGGACATTGAAATATTTTATTTTGGGCTGGGGATGCAGCTCTTTGATACAGTGAGTACTTAGCATGCTCAAGATTCTGGGTTCAAATACCACTTGTTACCAGAAAAACAATGTTTTTTTGTTGTGGGACTTTGGTTTGAACTCAGGGCTTTGTACTTCCAAAGCAGGTGCTCTACCCCTTGGGCCACACCTCCAGCCTATTTTGCTCTGGTTATTTGGGAGATAGGGTCATGTGAACTAGTGAAATCAACATCCTCTGATCTCAGTCTCCCAAGTAGCTAGGATTTACAGGTGTGAGCCACCGGCACCCAGGCAGAAAACCAATTTTTTTTTTAATGGTACAATACAACACAACTCCATAAAAAGTAGGTTAATGAAATTTTATGAAGAGAGCACACTCACAATCACCACATAGCTAAAGAAACAGACTTTTGCTAAATATCGCAATCAATATATCAATAATAATTATATCAATAATCTCTCCTTATTTTTAACAAATCATTGTCCTGACTTTATGATAATCACTTTCCTTTTTTAGTTTTATCACCTAAATGATATAGTTGTATCTATCAGCAACTTAGTTTTACTCATATTTTGAGATGATTTTTCAATCTCTTTAAGCCACAGGATTCCTGTCCATCTATTTTCTCCACATGCATTTATTTTAAAGAAACTAAGTCAATAGTACCACAGAATTTTCAGAAGTGCAAATTTTGATGAGTGAATTCCAATGATATAGTGCAATACGTTGGGTACATAGGCTTAACCAGCTTCAGCCTCATTTTATTTATTCATTCAGTCTTAACTCATGATACTGTTTTCCCCATCTGGCTGTCTAGTTGTCTTTTTGTGATGTGACAATTATTGCTGCTTAGATCTCTTAAGTCTTTAGTGGATGCCAAGGGTAATCTAACCCCAAAGTCCATTCATTATTAATGAGATGATATATTTCTGTAAAGAGAAAACTATTCTCATTAATGACTTGATAACACAATGATCAGTTTACAAAGGAAGGACAGGATAAGTAATCCATTCTTTCCCTTTATTTACCAATTCTCAAATTAAGGAGTTGGTTCTCTATTATCCTCTGAATTTATCTAAATCATCATTATAAAGACATTCCAGTGTGTTAATGCATTGTAGTTATTATATTTACTAATACTTAAAAATCCTATCATTGGCCAATATTAATCTCTTCAAGTTACCACTTGAATTCTTTGACATTTTTAAACATCATCATTGCTTTTTGATATTGTACAATGTTGTAAGCAAATCATTAACATTTCCAGCAAGCCATAAAATTAGTTATTTCTGCAAGGAGTCCTCACTGCTATGATATTTCAAGATAACCTTTGGATTCAGTGTGCTCAGTGCTCATGATTTGGTCATTGTATTGTGGTAAAACATTAGACAGTGCTACTAGTACACAGTATATATACCATGGTTATATATATATATATATGAATATATATAAAATATTATATTATATAATATATTTGAGCCTTTGGGCTGAGATCTTTTGAATCAGTTTGGTTACCTGGTATTTATTCTCATGAAGGGATGATAGGAATACTACTTCCTGATTTCTTCAATGTTAAGTTTGTAGATTCTATATATGAAAATTAGTTTGATAGGTATTTTCACTTCTTATGTGTCTTAAGTATCCTTCTCCATCTTCTTCTGGTAGAAAATATAGTGTCAAAAAGTATGATGACAGGCTGGGGGGCATAGTGGAAGCGGTAGAGCACCTGCCTAGCATAGAAACTAATTTGTATTTTTACCTGAATAGCCAAAATATTTTTTCCTTAAAGTTCATTAATTTTACTAGAATATATAGCAATGTTGGCATCAAGTTAATTTTTTCAGGTGTTCCGTGTGCCCTTTCAATATGTATTTTCAAATTTCCTGTTTAAAAAATTTCTGGGAAAGTTCTCTTGAATTAGTCATCCTGTTATTTTTCTGTGATTTGCTTTAGTTTTCCTTCTTGGAAATTTTTATTATTCATATGTTAGATAGTCAAGATTTGTCCTTTTAACATCCATCTTTTCTTATCTCTTTAGTCATTAGTTTCTTGGTATTTATAAATTTTCCTTCCCCCATTATATTTTTCTTATCTGTTAAGAAGTTAACTTATCTGTTAAGTTTATTTACTTCTGTTATAACTTCATCTTCCTTTCTAAAATTATATCTCCTTTGTTTCTAATTCCTCCCTAATTCCTATCAACAGACTTGTGAGATTCTCTAAATTATGATTTAAATTTAAATTGTTCTTTCACATCCTGTAACATTTTCTAATTTCTTTTAGCCCATTTAAAAATGTCTCAACTTTTTAATGTTGTGGTGAAGGGCTATTTTTCTACTCATTCTCATTTTTCTTACTATAATATACAGGATTACAATCCTTTCTTGCTTAGTATTTTACATGCTATTCATTTTCCTGAACATTAATGTTTTTAAAATAGCTTTTGAGAACCTCTCTTTTCACATTTTAGAGATGCTTTTCATGTTGCTTTCATAGTTTAGATCTTGAATGTCCCTCAAAGTCCCCTGAGTTAAAGGTTTCATCAACAGCTCTTGGCACTACTGGGAAGTAGTGGAACCTTTTGGAGATGGAGCTTAATGGCCCCTTACTGTTCTTCTCTTTGCTTCCCAGTCACCATGAGGTGAGCAGCTACTGTGCCATGCACGCCTTGGCATGATTTACGGCTTTGCCATAAAGTCATAGAGGCCCCAGGCCAAGTGACTGCAAACTGAAACCTGTGAAACTGTGAGTTAAAATAAGCTTTTTATCCTTGTAAGTTGATCTATCTCATCTATTTGTCTCATCTATTTGTAACATAAAACTAACACACATGTAGTTTTAGAAAATATTAGTTGTTTGTCTTTCCCAGTTTTATTTGGACTTTCTCTTTGTCCCCTTTGCCCATCTACAGCTCAATTTAGATTCTATTCATAGAAGTTTCTCCTCAGTGTAGGACTCCATCCTGTAAAAGAACTCTGGTTGGTTAATTTTTGAATGAAGCAACAAACACACAATTGTGTGCAATGAATCATTTATGTGTCTGGTACAAAGCCATTTAAATTATAGGCACAACTTGTGGCCAAGGAGTACTTACTAAGTTTCCAGTAACTTTTTAAGTTTGTTTTTAGACAGCTTTAAATTACTATGATTGTTCTAAACATTCTTTGAAACATTTTCTATTTCTCTTTGTAAGTGGAAGTAATAATAGTAACAGTGACAATAAAAGTAGCCAGAGAGACCTTGCTACCCATCTCAAAACAGCAACAGCCTCACTGTACCTCTCATGGTAATGCCAAAGACAACTGTATCTCTTTTGGCTGTTCCTTCTGGTTCACTCTATGCAAGCCACATTACAATGACATTTTTCTGTTCTTTGATCATGGGACTATGTGTCATTGTTTGAAGAGTTTTAAATGCATCACATAATTTAGCTGTCATCAGAACACTGGAATACTATCATTGACTTCCATCTTCTAGAAAAAATACTAGGGTACCAAGCGACTTAGTAACTTATAAAAACCAGGGAACAAAGTAGTGGAACGAGAATCAAACTCAGTGGTTCCCATAGATTGAGTTATTGACTATTACAGTTTTGCCTCATAGAAATAGTATGCAGAAGCAATGGAGACAATAACAAAACAGGTGCAGGGAAATATCCTTGCTTCTCCAGTAAGTTGGAAGTGAAGTAAAAAACAGTATACAAAGCTTCTATATCCCAGGGCCACGTGAAGCTACCATTCACCTACAGTATCATCTTGATGTTGGTTACACCTTTCTGAAGCTCAGCAAGAGTCATAAAACTAAAACTAAAATAAAACCTGAGGTAGCCAAAATTTTCAAAACCAGACTCCTGGTGCAGTTGTATAAACTAAGTCTTCACCACAGTAAATTTTTATTCTTTGCCGGCTCACTGTACCCACCCTGCAGTTGGGTAGGAGACAACAGATTCAATAGTTCCCAGGTTCAATATTTTTCCATAATTCAGTGTCTTCTCAGTTAAGAATCCTCATATTACAAATGGTATATGAATAAGAATAGTCACTCACAGAAGTATTGCTCTGAGCCGTAAGAAAATTCTACAGATCACTGCTTAGTAAACATGCTATTTAATGAGAGGATATACGCAGCTCTGATAAGACTGAGATCAGAAGAACCTGAAGCTTCTCATTTCAACACCTTTCAAAGTTCTTCATTTTAAAAATTCTGCCATTGGCATTGACTGTGCACAATGTCATTTTAAAAATGAGTAAAGAGAAATTATGTATCAAAAATCTTATTAGAATTTGTGGATATAATATCTTTAAATCCTTTTGGCAATAAATGAAAATATTCCTCTAAAAGTACAAATTATGCTATGGTTAACAGACACATCACAGGAAAGTAAAATAATCAGAACAGAGAGAAAAACCATACCTTCTATCAATAGCTCTTGTCCATGACTACCAAGAAGTGTACGAGACAGGAATGGGGCAAAGTCTACAAAAATTTCACGAAGAAGAGGAGCAACTTTTTCTAAAGCTCTTTCAAGTTTTGCAGTGATGCTGTTGGAATTAAGACATAAAGATTAATAAATATAATTCAAAATGAAATGTCAAAAACTTTATGATCAATCAAAATATTCAAAAGTCACCACACTCTAATTTTAGCCCATGGAATAATAACATGCTTTGTGTAGAAGGGACACTACACAGTTTCACAGTCATGGGTCTATCCAAAAGATTGCAGCTAAATTAGAAAAACAATACTGTGAAAACGAATCAGAGTTCTACCCAACTGAAAGTGCCAGAAACTATATCCATAGTTTTATGAGTGTCAGAAAAATTAGTTCTTATATGTTTCCTATGCTTTTCATTAAAAAAAAGGGGTCTTGAGTGCCTACTATGTGGAAACTATGTCAGTTACAAAGAATTTAACTCTTGCTCTCAAGAAGGTGTTTCCTGAAAAGATAGACACCTAAGGGAGCAATTGAAATTCATTTGAATTGCTTTGCCAAAGTAGGCATTTCCATTTCATAAGACCACTTACTGTTATCAGTCTCAGCATTATTGTTTATACTGCTCAGTAATGTTTTGGCATTCTTGAAAATAACTTTTAATGTTACATGTAAAAGAAAAACATAAGCGAAGAAATCATTTTTGCTTAAACAAATGAATAATTTGGTTGCAGATCTATCTCTCTTAGAAGTAAGTACTTTGGAGAAAGACTGCTTGGACTGGAATCCTGGTTACAGTGACAGCCAGCAGCCTTGGGAACATGGGGCTTTCTGTGCCTACAAGATGAAGATGATCATAGCACCTATCCAGTGAAGATTAAATAACCCCTCAGCCATGTAAAGTACATAGAAAAGCTCTTGGCACACATTGAGAGATCAATAATGTTAGATTTTATAATTGATACTTTGAATAAAACACACCCATATATTCTCTTGCAAAATGTTACAAAGAATATCAATATAATAGTAATATGTTACATGTGTACACCTTCTACACAGAAGACAAATACAGTAAGGAATCAAATAATTCTTCAAAAAATAAATTTCTTCCACTACACTTAGGTAACATATTTGTTATATCTGAGGAAAAACTAATGAAAAAATAAAAATAACTAACCTTAGAATAATTTGTAATATATTACTAATAATTAAAACTAAACTCTGGCATCTAGTTTATGTTTTTAAGCAACTACCTAGGGTTTAAGGAATAATTCTAAATTTCTTAAGTTGGAAACAGCAAGTTTTGAATCATTGGACACTCAAAGCCTTACCTCTAGCCCTTCTATTTAATTTTATTTTCTTTTTTCTGGATCAACAACTTTACAAAAAGAAGAAAGCATGGAAAAAACTTGGATTTACTCACTTCCACATACACTTGGAGAGAACATTATGGAGAGGCAACGTCAGGCAAAGAAATAGGGATGTGGATGAGGCTTGGCAGACTTGATGAAGACTTGAGTTTTCAATATGCCTCTGCACTATTATTTCCTAAGACAAGAACCTACTTCAAGACTTCAGTTCTCAACTCTTGGAGTGGACCACTGACCTCGAGGCCTACTGAAAGAGACTGTGGTGCCCAGTCCAGATTCTGATTCAGCAGAGGAGTGGGAGTACTATGAGAATGTGCACTTCCAACCAATTCTCAGGTGTGCTGATGCTGCTGAGCAGGAAACATTTTGACTGGCCGTTCTAATGAGAATACTAGCTACTAATACGTATTAATTTATAAGAGGGCCCAAAAGAAAAAGACAAAATACAAATACCTCCTCTAAAAAAAAAAAGGCCACCTGAAGTCACAGAACAACCATACTCATAGTAAATCTTCAGTGTATTAATACAAAGCTTTCTTAATTCCATCTACTATTTTATTAATTCTAATCTCTAGGATCATGTCCTATGACTTTGTAGCTAAACTAATTCCCTCTACTAAAGAATGGTAAGTAAAAATTGTAAGAGTGACTATGAAAAGGAGAAAATTCTACATAATAGGTCCTGCCATGTGTGTATATGGGGGGTGGTGGTACTGGTAGGAGTGGGGAGGAGGTGGGGAAATGGTGAAGGAGGGTGAATATGGTATAAATACTGTGCACACATGTATGCAAATGGGTGAAGGAGGGTGAATATGTTGTAAATACTGTGCACACATGTATGCAAATGGAAGAGTGATGTGTACACATGTGTGCAAATGGAAAAATGATATGTTGAAACTAAACCAAGAAAGGGGGAAGATGGGATGAATTCAAGTACAATATATTTGATATAAGAACTTTTGTAAATGACACAATGTACCCCACTCAGCACAATAATACGAAAAAACAAAGTTGTTAAAAGCTTAAAAAAAAAAAAAAGAATTCAAGGCCAACCAGGACTACAAAGTGAGATCCTGCCCCCCACAAAAAAATAATAAATCCAACAAAAACTAAAAAGAACAACAATAAGTAGAGAACAAGTAAAAGAATAGCAACAAGAGATTTGAACCAAATAAAGTAAAATCTCATTTGTTAAGTCTGGATAGGGATGCAAGTGCATCTGTTATATTGTTTTCTTTCAAAGAATGTCTCTAGCCCTTTCATCTTATGAGTAAACAGTAACAAGGTAGAACATTAGAGGTAGAGAGCAAGCCCTCTGGCACACTGAATTTCCCAGAGGCCTGTTCTTCCACTTGCCAGCTTCCACAACTGTAAGAAATAAATTTCTGTTGATTAAAAAAATATATTATTAATAGTTTCTGAAGGTGACTTCTGATGGAAGCATGAATTTGTTCAGACTAATAATAGGAAGCAAAATTATTTCTGAATTCTGCATTCATGAAGGTTCACATCATAACTATACTATTGGGTTTAGGGTACTAATTATTTAAGGTTGGCTCCACTGGTAGAATGTGTGCTTAGCTTGTTGTGAGGCCCTGGTTTCAATCTCCAGTACTGCTAAAAAAAATGTAATTTTATCTAATTAAAGATAGAAACATTTTTTTTCCTGGTTTGAGGACTTTCTCCCCTATTTTACAAATTTCTGAATGATTTATTAGAGGCTTCAGAATCACAAAAAGCATTGTTATTGGTGATTAAGCTAATTATCCAATGGAAACTTAAATTAATCAGCAACTGATTACTTCTATATGTGTACTCATATGTTAATTACCAATTATGTAATTATGAAATGTGAATAAAAACACATTTCTTAGGAAGTGAATCAATATTATAGATTTTTTACCAATAATTTTTTACAAAATTTAATTGAATATTAAATGTTGATCTCACATATGATTCTTCAAGGGTAGAGAATCAACATATTCTACTCACCAGGAAATCAAAGAATTTAAGAACAGAAAATCTCATTATCAAATAATACCGTTAGACTTCTCCATCAAACCACAACAAAACATCCTAAGAGGACAAGTTCCATCATGATTTTACAGTAAAGAAACCCGCAGCTTATTGTTATTAATATCTGAATATACAGTATAAAGTATATCTTTATCCTTATACAATTCAAATTATCAAAAGAACTGGTATGAACATAAAGTTCTACTAAAGCACTTTTGTTTATCACCTGGAAAATAAATATTACCACACTTACCCTCCAGAAAACACAAAAAGCATACATACTGTGCCTATATTCTCTTATTTTAGTTTCATTCTCAGAGATTAAATGTAAAACTCCTTTTTCCAACTCCACGATCTGTATGAAAAAGTTGTGTCAACATGTAAGGAAGAAATTAAAAATCATGCTTCCAGGCTCCAGAGGCTCATGACTATAATTCTAGCTACTCAGGAGGCAGAGATCAGGAAGAATGAGGTTTGAAGCCAGCCCAGGCAAATAGTTACACGAGATCCCATCCTGAAAAGAACCCTTCACAAAAATAGGGCTAGTGCAGTGCCTCAAAGTGTAGGCCCTGAGTTCAAACCCTAGAACTGAAAAAAAAGAAAAAAATCATCCTAACAAGGATGAAGGGCATGGCTGTTAGTCCTGTAAAAATAAACGGATTTTTTTTATCTAAAAAAAATAAAATAAAAGGCACATATAAAAACTACAAAAAAATCAAGGTATTCACAACAGATTATTTTGTAAGAAATATTAGTGTATTTTACTTTGGTGAAAAAACTAAATAGCAACTTTTCATTTTTTTAAAAGCTTATTAAGATACTATGCACAGAAATAATATGAAAGTAGTATAGGTGGGGGATTTTCTCCCATCATCTTACACTCCAATAAATTCTTAATATTTGAGAAAATTCTTGACCCCAAGTAAACTTAAAACTCTGGGCTGAAATTCATACTACCTTAATTTTCTTATTCCACTCTACTCTTTTGTGCCCTTCAATTATACTAATGATGTTTATAATGCTTGATGGATGACTTTGGTTATTTTTCCTTACAGTAAGTCAGTTTAAAGTCTTAATAAATAGCTTACATAAAGGAAACTTACATAAGATTTACATATAGAAAATTCCTCTTGAGATTTGAGAAATTTATCAACCACTCTAACAAAATTACTAATGTACGAAAACAAAGCATTAAAAGGAAGTAATAATGCTTCAGAAGAAATTTTGTAGGTCTGATGTCAAGATTAAAACAACATGACTTAAAATATAAGAGCTTTATATTTAAAAAATGCACAATTGTGTATTGTCTTTATCTGTAGCAAGTATCAGGTACAGTTAATTCTAAAAAATGTATATGAATAAAAATATAATTTACCCATGGGAAAAATAATTTATGAAAACCCATGGCTATAATTACTAAATCTTACCAAATGTAAGATTTGGCCACAAGATACATCCAAGGTTGTGGTAATTATAAGTACATGAATTAAGAGAAAGAAGATTTTTATACTTTCTGTTGTTTAAGTAAACCTATTTATAACATACTTCATTTGTTGAGTTTTTTCAATAGTACATGTTACAAAATTCAATAAAAACATAATAATTCTACTCATACTTAGGACACTGTATACATTTTGAGCTCTATTTAAATAAACTCCATTATGGTATTTCATAAAATTATGATATTTACTTACTTTTGATTTCAACTTTTTTATGTTTTCCTAGGTATTAAGCATAATGCCATAAACATAATAAACAATAATTTGATTTGGTAAGGCTTAAATTATACTTAAAGAGGTTACAATATTAAAATATAGATTTTAAATAAGTAATTATACAATGTAAAATAATGTACCTAAAAGACAGCTCATATATAAAAGAAATTATTAGATTAGTTAATTCTTGGTAGAT